ATTAATGTAGATAAGGAACAGAATCCGTAAACTTTCTAATTGTGTGAAGAGATCGCATATTTTTTCCCGATGTTTCAATACCTTTACCAAGCCAGCCTTTTTTAGTTTTTGTTTTAATTTTTCGAAGCGGAAAACTTTTTTAAAAAATATGTGACACATTTGATTGAAAGGAACATATTTGATCCTCTGAACTCAAACAACGGTTCCAGTTAACTTGATTCGCATGTCTGCTTATGAGCGCTTTGGCTAGGTAGGATCTTCTCATAGAGAGTATGCCAGGCTAATTGGTCCGTAATTCAGTGGTTCCAATTTACTGCCCTTCTTTTAAATTGGTATGACATGTGCTGTCAGCCAGTTTTCAGGAATAGTCCCATCTGCTAAGGTGTCTTTGAAGACAAATGTTAGGTCTCTTTTGATGCTGGTTAAACAGTTTTATTGCAAAGAGAAAATTTAATCAAGTTTTTTTTCAAATGTTATCAAAACACTGTCAACAAAAATATCCTCACTACCAGGAAAAGCAGTTTAACAAATCTTTTACTACAGTACAAAACACATAAATAAAGCCTTGCCAGTATTACCAAATTCTACACAGACTGAAGCGGAATATACTGACAGTAAACAGTGATTCTGCCACAGGCCTTGATGGTATTCCCTTGATTTTTTTTCGGAAATGACCCTATCCAACAAGGATTAAGCAGGCGCAAATTTTTGACTTTTCCTGTATTTTTGAGAAAATGCAAAATAGCCATCCTATGTATTTTTTTCCGTAGAACAATTTAAAAATTTGCCCTTGTTCAGATCTTGTTGGTGGAGCTTTGCGAGATTTCTATATAGAAAATGTCAATAGTAACCCCAATTTTCAAGAAACGAGATGAGTTGCTGGCTTAGCTAAGCATAATGGGAATGGTGATTATAAATAAACTTGCACCATTTTTATTTACAGCGTGGCAACATGCAAAATGTTTGGGGGACTGACCAGAAGTTTTGACCTAAACAGATGGATTTGGATTTTGAGAAAGCCTTCGATAGGGTGTCTCACCAGGTTTTTGATGAAAAAACTTGAGCATTATGGAGTGAAAGCTTGACTGCTTGACGTTAATATAGCCTTTTTAACCAGGCATTAATGGCACCTTATCAGACAGTCAGGAAGTTCTGAGTGGAGTTCCTCAAGGCCCCTCCCCCTTCTCTTTTGAGTGAATATCAAACTGATTTGGCAACTAACATAAAAATAACAATAACTTTTTTTTGCTAATGATACCAATATATATGGCCAAGAAGCAACACAATATCATTAACTCCTGTGAAAACCTTAACATAATATACATAAGAAGTCTCCAAAATAAACTCCACAAACTAATTGACATTATACAAGGAAGCAAAAAAATAATACACCTAATAATACTCACTGAAACCTGGATTTATCCTAATGAAAAACAGTTTTTTAATCTCCCAAAATACACAGTGTTACACAATAGTAGATGTACTTGAGGAGGAGGCACAAGCATTTACCTAAGAGAGGGACTAAACTTTAATCAAAATGATTTATCTACATTTAATTTTGGAGACTGTAATGTGGTTTCACTATATTTAATCTAAGAGAAAACCACAATCATTGGGATCTACCGACCCCCACAAAACAAGACTGATATATTCGTAACCGAACTTGATAAACTACTTGAAACACAAACAAATAAAACCATTTTGATAGGTGATATAATTTAGATCTGTTGGAGGAAACACAAGCAGTTAGGGATTACAAAGAGGTAATTGAAATGAATGCTTTTGGGATACAAAATATTACGACAGCTGGAAATGCCACACGAACAACAGCCCATACTGCAACAATTCTAAATCATATAATAACAAAAAAAAATCTAACATGTAACATGAAATTGCAAGATCATCCTGTAACAGATCACAAAATTATCTATACTGAAGTAAGGAAAATTATGATTGAAGAAAAAGTCACCTGAGCCTACCTAAATAAAGAACTATAGATAGATAGTATAAGTAAAAAAATTAATAATGTAGAAATTGAAACATTTGCAAAATTGGCAGAAATCATAAATGGAACTAAAAAGAACGCAACAACAGAAAAAATAAGAAAAATTAAAAAAGGCAAGAACATTTTAGTATAGTCCGTTGCATGGTTCTTCAGCTACGACTACTGAATAGACAGAGGGAACAATGGGCTATTACTGCGTTGTCATATCAATTATATTTATTATTACATGCAAATGAAGGAAATTTTATTGCAATTTTCATGTATTAATACATATTATCGATATGACAACGCAGCAATAGCCCATTGTCCCCTCTGTCTATTCAGTAGCCGTAGCTCAAGAACTATGCAACGGACTATAAGTATAGGGGGCATCACATCACATATAGATCTTGGCAAAATAAATTTCAAGGAAGAAGAGGTAAATAAAAGTATATTTTAAAACCGACTGACATCAATAAAATGGAGAACATTATATGGGACATGAAAAATAGTTGCACACCAGGTATTGACAATATAACAAAAACATATTGTTGGTGGGAAGATTGCTGATATTATAAATTGCGTACTGGAAAATCGGAAATATCCTGGAGAACTGAAAATAGCAGAAATTATACCAATTCATAAGAAAGGTGCACATGACGACTTAAATAACTACCAACCATTCTCACTTTTGAGTTCTTTCTCCAAGATACTTGAAAAAATACTTAAAAAAAGAATGATAGATTTCATTGCTGCAACATGCAACTTTGATAAAATGCAATATGGCTTTTTAAAAAACAGCAACACATTGGGAGCTACAGCAGATCTGTATGTTTCAAGTGAAGTGGACAAAAATCGATATGTTATGGTTTTTGTGGATCTACAAAAGGCGTTTGACACGGTGAACATCGAGCAAATGCTGAATAAGCTTCATAAACTTGGAATCCATGGAATATGTCATGAACTTTTGTCAAGTTATTCAACAAACAGGAAACAATTTACAGTTGTAAATGAAAAGTGCAGCGGTGAACAAACTCTGAAGGTTGGAGTCGCCCAAGGTTCCGTATTGGGCCCTCTACAGTACCTAATATATTGTCCGTCGATTTTAATCTGACACTTTCCGTGTGAGGAACGAGGGGGTGAAATATATATAATATACCGGGTGGGGCACGAAAAACTTTCCACCCAGGTTTTCTCAGGTGTTAGGTGTTTATTCAAAAATCGCTCAGACACGTCAATTTTTGTTTTTTGGGGGACACATTTTATTGGTATTTTCACCCCCTACCTGTGAACCCCTAAGTGGGGGCAACAGGTACCCCCAAAATTTCAAATGGAAAGAGGGGTCGAGTGATATATCATTTGGTAGCTATTTTCGTTGAGATTATATCCCCGAAGTTCTAAGTGGCTACTATCAACCCTGCCGAAATGGCGGCATGTCAAAGTTGGGATAAATGCTTTTTTTGATAATCTAAACTGTATAGTTTTTACCTGTCAGACCTATGCGTAGGTAACAGTTAAAAACCACATAGCATTTTTCCATTGATTTTTCCTAACTTTGACAAGCCGCCATTTCGACAGGGTAAATAGTAGCAACTTGAAACTTCGGGGATATAATCTTAATGAAAATAGCTATCAAATGACGTATCACTCGACCCACCTTTTCATTTGAAATTTTGTGGGTACCTGTCTCCCCCACTTATGGGTTCACAGGTAGGGGGTGAAAAATGAAAATACCAATAAAATGTGTCCCCCAAAAAACAAAAATTGACGTGTCTGAGCGATTTTTGATTAAACACCTAACACCTGAGAAAACCTGGGTGGAAAGTTTTTCGTGCCCCACCTGGTATATACTCCCTAACGTAGGGAGCCACCAGCTCACATTTTTTTGGAGTATCAGATTAAAATCGACGGACAATATGTGCAAAGCCTTAAATTTGTTGCGAAGTCAAAATATTTTATGTTTGCCAACGACTCTGTATTGGTGTTTTCTGCTGATCACACCAACCAAATGGAGATAGACTTAAATGAAGATTTGGACCTTTAATAAAAAAGTGTTCTCATCAATTTAACAACGAAACCAAGCATATGCTATATAATAGTTTCATAGAATCTCACTCTAGATATCTTATACCCTGTTGGGGAAATGCAAGTAAATACCTTCTAACAAAACTACGAGTCCAAAATAAGGCTATGAAATCACTTTTTTCTATGGACTATTGCACACCCAGTGAAACCATATACAAAGAATATTCGTTTTTAACAATACAGAAACTTACAACTTTTGGACAAGGCAAGCTTATTTATTGTGTTCAAATCATTGTCAGTTGAAGGACGGTTAAGATTGTCATAAATATAATACTTGAACGAAGGACTTTCTTAGAAACAGCTATGCCAGAACAAAAAAAGGGCAAGATTCTGCACTTTACCGAAGCAAACAAGTAACAAATGTGATGCCAAAGACTATTATAGATTTAAAACTTTCAAAAATGTGCCATAACCTTAAGACTTACCTAAGACAGACTTAAACAGATAAATATTTTATAGGAATTTAACTTTATGTCAAATGATTTATTTCAATAATGTTATTTTTTTCTTTTTATCATGTAGAATTTATTATTTGGTATTTTGTCTGTAAGAGTTACTATTCTAGGCTTCGGTGCCAGTATTCTTTTGAAACTGGAAGAAGATTTAACAGCAGTGAAGAAATGGCGAAAAAGTTGGAAAATTAAATTAAATGTGCAATTCTCAGCATTCTTATAATGTTGTCGATCAAAAGGATCTAGGGTGAAATAGGGGTCATAACATATCTGGAAAACAGTAAACATATCTGCAAGAATGATGTTAGATACAAAAATTGAATGTAACAGGAAAATGCCTAGAAGAAACTGCTTTCCGACTCGTATCAATAATCTCAACCACACAAAGTCAAATACCTAGTTGAAGTAATTGATTTTATACTTTTGAATCACAACAACTTCTCCTGTTTATTTGTAAACAACAAACTTGAAATTCTTACCTGTCTTGCTTTGAAAAAGGCACTATTTTTATACAGGTAGGAGTCCTTCTTGTAGGTAAAAGTAACTTTGGCTTCGTGCATATTAAATTTGCACTCTTGCTCGTCGCCTATTTCGAAGTTGACTTGAGCGTTGTCGCTGCGTTCCGGTGCGCGCTCGTTCAATTTCCTCTCCAACGCTTCGACGAAAATATCCATGTTCTCTTCGTTTTCACGTCGAGAATTGTTGGCCGTCTTCAAATCTATTTGGTCCTAAATTAACAACAATAACTTGGCGTTATAGTATATACATTTGAGTGATCAATTAAATTTTTACAATAATTATAATTACAAAACCATTGAATTCAAAATGTCTCATTTGCAAGATTTTTCCACCAGCTCAGGGTGTATGGTGTGGATTATGTGTTTAGGATATAAAGTTCAAAATTCTTACCTTATTCTGGCTGCAACTGTCGTCTTCATCAGCAGGACATATCCTAGATTTTTTATTCTTCAGTGTTTGTCGTTTTTTGTACAGTCTTAAATTTCTGCCCAAGTACAGGGGCGCTATGGGCTTGTCACTTTCAGGGTGCGGTAAGCTTGTGTAACATTCCTTAAAACTGTTCCATTTCTATAGCACAAAAACAAACAATATTTAAATGAAATTCAATTTAAAACAACAACGGATCTTACGTTGGTGTCTTCAGTTTTCTTTGTATGCTCCTGCTCTGTATCCAGCAATTCAATAGTTATCCTACAATCGCACTTGTAAATGTAGATTTTGAAGCAACTATCGTCTTGTACCACTTTTTCAGCTGCTCTCTGATAGGCCTCCTCCAAATAAAACCTTTTGTGAGCTGTGGAACATAAGCCTCCTGCTGCATTGCGTTTGCTTTCTTTTAAGTACAATTCAGTACAGCTCAAAGCAGTTCTAGAAAATAAAAAGAAAATCCATTAGATTGTTGATTTCTTTCACTATTCACTATGACTAAAGCAAAATTTTATTTTTCCAGTTTCTTCAAACATCTATTGAAAAATGTAATCAATAAGGAGCTAATACATACACTAGCATATTTTGATACATTCCCCCCTCTATTGCCATAATCGCATATAAACAATAAAATTCTTACCTCTCTGTAACACAATGTTGCAACTGTCTCACAGCATAGGACACAATCTTATCCAAAGTAAATGCAATATAGGCATGAATCCCAAACATCTCCCTCATGGTGTCCTCATAAGTATTCGCCTCCATATTACCGTCCAGCAAATTTTTGACCATATCCAAAAACGCTGGGTAATAATCCTCAAACTCGATTTGCGGTTTTGGTTTCAGTCTCAGCGCAATGGCGGTGCTTTCTTTGCGATTCTGCCCATTGCATCGTTCTTCTTGGGCGATCTTCACTGCTCGCTCGTAGACCCTGAGCAAACGCTCGCACAAAATGGCGTGCAGTCTGAAAAAGACGTACCAGTAGTTGTTGGCCATGAAAAGCGAGTAGGCTTCCTGAGGGTTGGAGGATTGAGCATGTGGAGGCACTTTGAAGTCTTCATCCTTCATTTCCGAATCACTTTTGATGTCTGGAGAGCTTTCTCTCTCGCTGCTAGGACCGGGAATCGCTGCTCCCTCTTCTGGTTTTGACTCTTTGCTGCTGTTGGGAGTGTTTTTGGGCGAACTGTTCGGACTAGGTTTGTCTTCATTTTCGTCTGCAAAAAGTAAACAATGAGGTTTTGAAACTCACAAGATTTTTTTTCTCTTACCGTCTTCTTCGCGCTCATCATCACTCAGTGGTTGTCGTGAATGGAAAAACAAATCTGGCAGGAAATGTCTGAGCAACTGTTTGATTTTTCTTTTTTCGCCTTTTTGTATTCCAGTTTGCCGTTTGACATGGTGTATGAGTAAGTTAGCTGCGTCATCCAGAATGGATTTTTCCCTGGAAAAAAGTAAATATTTTAGCAGTCTAAGATGTGTGAATTTGGTACAGGTTCATGAAAATGTTAACTATGAGAGGGTAAACAACTGGTTGCTTCAATATTTTTCAACTTCCATCACAAAATTAGCCAGGATGACTACAGGAATACTAAAAACAAATAGTCGACAACAAAGTTAATTTCAACCTACACATATCCAGCAGCAAATAAAAGACTGTTATCTAAGTAGGCATTTTAAAACACTAGCATACAAAAACAAAAACATCTTAAGCTTTGTCAATAAAGTACTCGATAAATAAACATAATAAACTTGTTAACATGTCATGTAAAAATAGATTCTTACCGATAGGGTACCACAATATGGGGTCCTGTAGGTGGATCAGCACCTTCCTCGGTCTGTTCATGCCTATCATCGAATATCGACTCAATTTCATTGAAAAGACTCTTTGACCTTATGGCTTTGAGATCGGTTTGCTTGAAATTGATGCCCGTATGATCCAGGCTCTTCAGGTAGTATTTTTCGTTTTGCTCCCTCCAAATTTTATTGAAACCTAAAAAAAATTATAATATACAATTATGGTATCTCTAGAAGCAAAAAAAATCATACCTTTTTGTGCTTCTCGCCACTCATCCTCTTTCAATTTAAGCCTCTTCAAGATTACTGGTACTGCCGTATAAGGATTCTTTTTTAAACCTTCAATGATCTCAGGAGCCCTTTCCCCATAAATCCTTTTAAGCGCCCTCTGATGCAATGTATGCGAGGTACCACCCAAACCATCATCTAACTTAAATTTGTTCAATTCTTCCTGGCTCATTCGACTCATTTTCTTATTTACAGCTTCCAATACTCTGATTGTTGACGCGTTTGTCTCGATAACGACGTCCAATTCAAATCTTTCATCTTCACAGCGATACATGTACTCTTCATACTGAGTTTTGCGGGAACTAACAAAAGTACTGTCTTCACTCCAAGTAGGAAACGACACCCATTGATCGTTGAGTACCTCTTTGCACAGCTGAGTCCGGCCGGAGCACATTAGCCCCTCCTGCGCTTTGGGAGTGAGACAGTAACTGGCCCCTAACCGTTTAGCGGTTGAGAAATCGATTTCGAGCACGTGCTCGCCCCCTGGGGGACGTTCAGATCTTTGCAAGTTGTACTGGACAGGTTCAGTTTCGCCGGCTCCAACGTGCTGATTTACAAACTCCCGAAAGAATTTAAGTAATTCTGGGTATTTGCCTAGGGAAGGGCTGACGAGTTGTAACAATTCAGTTTTGGAGATGATTTCTTGATTGAAGAGGACCAGGCAACGCAAGAACATGTTGTAGCCTTCTTGGGATTTTAGAGCCTTATGAACCTAGAAGGGGAAAATCATTATAAGTATTATATTGTAATATTGCAAGATTATTAGTGTCACCATACAAAAAAATTAAAAAGATCATGGATGTATAAGCTACTTACAGAAGCTTTGCAACCGCAAAGGAGGAATTTATTGAGAACTTGGGAAGGATTCTACAGGGTGCAACCAGGGATCAAAACAGAGTATATTTATTTGCTGGAGACATAAACATTGACTTGCTGGAATTAGACTCAGAAGCGACAAATAATTATTTAAGCTTAATGCAAAGTCACGGATTTATTGGGGCAATAAACAAAATGACAAGAAAAACAGAAAAGGGAGGATCCTGCCTGGATCACTTCTTTATCAGGTGCAAGAACTACACCTGTAATTTTAGAAATCGATCTCATGGATCACAACCCCATCTTACTTAACTTTAAGTTGGAAGTACCAATAGCTAGTGCAAGTAACTTGAGTTCATACAATAAAATTGATTATAATAAGTTATCTGAAGAAATAGAAGGAGAGAGATGGGGTGGTGTTCTGCAGGAGATGAATGTAAATTTGAGTACTAATCTGTTCATAGTTAGACTGAAATCCAAGATCTCTGAACTAACTGTGGTAAAGTCAGTTATGGGTTGGCTGTTTGGGGTAATGCAGGCTCAACAATACTGTCAAAATTAAGTGTGGTTCATAGGTGGATAATAAAAATCATCCTTTTTGAAAAGAAAAAATACCCAAGTGACCTTGTTTATAAAGAAAGTGGCTTACTAACCAGAGACCAAATGTAAATTAAATCTGTGGTAAGGTTCACGTGTAAGAATTCTTACCACAAAGAGGACATAAAGCATGGTCTAAATACTAGGAATACTGGACAAGGAAAAGTTGAGCTGCAGAACCCAAAACATACAACCTGTTAGAACCATATATACTGTGTTGGCTGGAAGGTATATACTGATTTGCCTAGTAGTATTAAGGAAAAAAAGTATCAAAGGGCTAAGGGGGAAATAAATAAATGGAGAGTGGATAGTAGGTATAAAATTAACATTGTTACATAAATTGGTCACATACATATTAGGAATAGGTAGGGATGTAAAGCTTTATTTTCTGAGTAGAATGTTTAATAGGGATTGGAAGTGTTATTACTATTACTATACTATTATGGTTATTATATTTAATTTTATTTTTAATATATTCTTTTTATATTGTAATGGTTTATAGCTCCTGACTTGTTAGAATAGTGAAGTGAAGGTAGATAACCTCAGCTAAGTAAGTTTAATTTATCACGGAAACCAGGTGCACATACAGTATTCTAAGTTCTATAGTGCATCATATCTTATTTAGCAGGGGTAGGAGGATAGGGAGGATTTTTGGACTTTACAAGTTGTGTCATACAAAAATTAATGAGTAAGTATACAAAACTAGGCAACATTGTAAAAAACTTCAACTAACCTTATCAAAAAATGCATAATCATTCAAAGTTCCATATTTGGCAGCTTCACTCAAAGTCACATCTCTATAAGCTGGAGAAACTTTATGCTTTTTAGTTGGTGGCATATCTCTGTGATGATAACTGGAATAGGGAGGAGACGACCTTTTCACTGACCCAGATTGATGGCTGGACTTGTGGGAAATGTGCCGGTCGGGCATGTGATCTTTTTGATAGGGTTTCGAAGATTTCTTGCTGACTGAATTGGAATGTTCCATAACTGGTGCCTGGTTAATGTGACTGGTAGCGTCTGGCAGGAACTGGCCAAATTCGGCTAGCAGGTCACTTTGATTTTCAAACAATTTGGCCACTTGGCTGTAGACTTCTTGTTCGGTTAGGTGTTTGGCGTTGTTGCCAACGTTGGCCTCTTTCATTGTGCGTTGCTCTTTTTGGTAGGTGTGGAGGATTTCTAGGAACCTTTTGTACTTTTCGGGTTGTCCTTGGAAACGATTCTGGAAAGAGCACATAAGAAAACTTAATTTTTTGTACTTCTTAATTCTAATTTACTCGGCTCAAGCAGGAAATTTAAAAAGATTACACACATTTCGCCGTAAAGATTAAAACTAACTAACTTGCATGATAAATCCGAAACCAAGTGTGCACTAGTTTTGCGATTAGCCGCTGCATCACCACTGAGGCATGCAATTACTCATAATTGCTTGTGGTGAACTAAAATATAATCAGTAAACACGTAACAGTGGGAAATTCCATGTCATCATAACTTTGGAAAACAATAATAATAATGATAATAATAATACAAAGGATCGTTCTATTAATCGAGGCAAGTTATTAATGTCTACTTTGGGTATTTAATAGCTTATTGTTAATTTTGGTCTTGATTTTGAAATTCAAGCTTGTAAAGGTGCTTAAAACACTGTTATTGCTTTTTCGCAGATGTGAACTTAGTTTTTAGGAAAAATTTTAGTTTGATAAAAACAAAAAAGAATTCTGACGAAAAATTATGTCCAAGAAAGTTTTTGAGACAAATGAACTCACTGGAAGCTTGCTCCTTTGCTGAATGAGGAAATTATTTTTTGGTGAAAACTCTCTCACAAACAATGCACTTAAAGCTTGGTCGTTTACTGATTAAACATTGTCGCTCAACAAAAAATGATGTATCAACATTCCTATAATTCCTGAATCATAATGTGAGTTCAAGGTTGTTTTGATGGTAATAGTATTTATTATGAAGAGCGCATTTTGGTCGTGGCGTGGCGCCATCTAAGACTAGGATTATTTATTATGTTTTAGGAATCGCAAGGAGGAAAATGAGAGGCTCTGGCGTTTATTGGGGCCTAATATGTATTTGTTTAATTATAAAATTTTTGTCGAGATGACTGACTGACAAATAATTACACCAAATACTTAATTACTTGGGGATGCAGTCTTGTATTAGGTAACTAAGGCTACTCTTTTTTGCAAAGCCGAGCTTTCGTAAATCTTTATTTCCTGTTTCAAGGCTACAATATGAAACTTAGCAAAGACATAATAATATAAAAGATAACTTACTGCCAACTGAGGTTAAATTAGGATGGAATTGGATGGATGGATTAAATATTGTTAGAAAGTAAGTTTGTCAGAATATAACCCATTCTATTCGGGCCGTGTTTTTCACATGGTAACGCCTGTACGAGAAATTGTAGGAAATTAGATACATACGGCACTCGTCATAAGTTGCTTGTTTCAAAGACGGATGCATATGGCACTAGTGAAGAACGACATGGAGAAGTTGAACATGGAGTTAAGATTTTGTTAGAAAGGAGGTACCCGACATCACAGTATCTACAACTTCTGTTAGTGGCTTCATGAAAAAGTGGCATGTGACTATTGACGTGAGTTGTTCAGGTCACAGACATATTAGCTTTGAAATTACAGGATACAGTCCTGAAACTAAAACTTATCGGAACCCCCGCAAAATAAACTGGGAAGCCTATCAGTTAGACCTGGAGGACAATTTGCGGGACGTAAAAACGACGATAAGAAACACCGTAGACTTGGACCTAGCAGTGGAACTACTGCAGACCGCTGTTTCATCGGCCTACATGAACAACTGTCTTGCAATCACAAGTGATTCCAACCGAAATGTGCCCTGGTGGAACAACGACCTCAGAAAACAAAGGAAATGTGGAGATTTGTGGGTTATAGGACTTAGACTGTTGTCTCAGGGATCCGTACAGTTGAGAGAAAGGCACCTATTTTCATGTTTTTTATTGGTTTTCGTTGATTTTCTTTAATTAATTTTCAATTTTCTAGGTAGTAATGAGAAAACTGAAAATTAATTAACAAGTTTTTATCAATCTCTACCACTCTACATTTCAAGAAAATATCTTTTATTTAAAATATTAACAACTTGTAAAATTTTAATAAAGAATATTATAACTTTGAGAATGACTAGTATCAATATGATATTGTGCTAATCCACATGAAGCTTTATTATTTCTAATGTTGCTTTTATGAGAGTATATCTTTTAGGATTCTTAAAGTTTATGCAATATAAATTGATGGACAATTTTGGACAATGGAACACAATTATTTAAAAGATCATCCATGACGTATTTAGCAATAGGAGATAAATTTGCCTTATACAAGAACACATCCTCACTAATTAACTATTTAGTTTATTCATTTACATATACTATGGAATGAAAACAAATTAAGAATATGTAAATTGAAATATGAGGCAACAGAGTGTGTTATTTTTTCATTGGAAGTACATTAAATTTGTCAGAAATGATCTGAGCAAGACATTGTCATAATGGACACTAACCCTTATTTACCCTAATAGCTAAAAATCCTTACCTTAATCTTATTAACATAACTAATGGCGTGATTGAATTCCACAGGCTGGTTCTGTGGCGGTTCGGTGTGTCCTTGCAGGGCGTGATTAACGGCCGCTTGTGCTGCTGACAAAGACAATCCATAGTTGGGTTGAGGGGACAATCTATAACCAGAAGTGGGATGGTGAACCACTGGAGGAAGAGATAGCGGTTGCTGCTGTGGAGATGGCACAGAAACAATGTGTTGCGCTTGCGGCAGTTGCTGTGGCGGTGGCTGTGGCAACTGACTGGGTGGAGGTGGTGGCTGACTGGGCGGACCGGACATATTAATGCGGCCAGAGCCGCTCAGAATCATTGAGGATTTTTGCGGATCGGACGACACTGTACCAGTGGGACTGGGCACGCTGACCGACACGGAAAACGCGTAACCACCCTGGTCGCTTCTTTGCACCTCAATCTTATAACCGGGTGGCAAAAACGTGTTAAAACCGACAATCAAATCCGGGAAACCTTTAAACAGGCTCGACACGCGTTGAATAACGCCCGGCGTATCGATGCTTTGACTCTTAAACTCCTTCATGATGTCCAAAAAGTCATTGTAAACTTGCGGCTTGGTGCCAAACTTGTACTTTACCAAGTCCAAATACGAGAGCGCGTCTTCCACTTTTAAACGCTGAAAACTGCTGGGCGATTGCTGCTGCGGGGACTCTTGGAGATTGGCGCTGGGCGGCGAGGCACCTGCAGTATGCATGGCATTATGACTGGTGGCTGAAAGGGGCATGGATTGGGGCTTACCACCCGAATGGGGAGCGGCTGCTACGGGCATTGTGGCGTAACTCACTGGGGGCGCTTGAGAGTATAAACTAGATTGCATACCCTCACTCAAAACTTTCACTGTGCCTGGGTAGGCTAGGGCTGGGGCTGAGTTCGGCAAAGATTGGCGATACAAAGGCCCTGACAAGGGAGATCCGGAAGTGGCTTCTTTCGAAGGCTCATCCACTCTAAGACGTTTCATTTCAAATTAACTTCAACTGGCTGAAAAAAAAAAAAACAATATGTTAATCGATTACAGGCTTAAGTGTTGTTAAGGAAGTTTTCCTTTTGAATGAGTGTAGTGCAATATTATCTGCAAAAGATGATATACCGGGTGTCCCACTAAGGTCGGCCAGGTACGATATTATGGAGAGCATAGACCTCACCTAACTTGAAAACGAATGCAGATATTGAATAGCGGTTTGCGCCAAAATGTAGATATTTTTTTGCTCTTGAAGCACAGCAATACAAAAATAATATTATGCCATTTGGATTTTTCATGAAAATTAGGAAAAACTGGATCTTGAATAAACAGCGCCCTCTAGCAGACGCGGTGGGAACTATCGACCTCGAACGAAGTGGTATTCGTAATAACAATGAAATTCTCTTCCAAATAAACCCAAATTGAATAAGTTTGAATGAGGGGTATGGAAGATACAGCAATTTCTAAAAAAAAAAAATTCACCAGCTTCCCCCACCCTTATTACTGAAGATACGAAAAAAAGCCTAATAACCAAACTGGCGCAAAAATTAATGAACTTTTGATTTCTGTTGTTAAAACAGTATCTTAATATAGCGATTTCTTGAGAAAAGTTGAATTTTTAGCTATATCATCATAATTGCGCCCCCTAGCGGTCATTCTAGAAACTTGAAACTAATTTCTATCAATTTCTCTTGGCCGATTTAGTGAAGAAAAAAAAATCCCGAAGCCGTAAGGTCTATGGTTTCCATAATATCGTACCTGGCCGACCTTAGTGGTACATAGCTCAGGCAGAGATGATTTAAAATGACTTGCCATTGCTTCGTTCTATTTTTGTAACTGCACTGTAACTTACTAGCTGCCCTGACGAACTTCAAACCGCCTCAGAATCATTAAATGTTGTGTTAAATTATCAGTTGAGTATAATTCAGATTCATGAAGATAAAATGAATTAAGTTCTACAATTGTACAAGGGGTTCCAATGAGAACTGAATAGACAACTATTTTTTATTTTATTTTTATTTTTTTTATTTAATCAAAATCCTCTACATCTTGCGTTTACAGAGAATGTCTAAAACTACAAACTACCCAACAACCCTAACATCTTAATCTACTTTGAACCTCCTTCTTAAATGAAATTATTTTACTTTGAAAAATATCACAATTTGTTTTATTGCTAATATCACACATTCTTACTATAGGTGAGGTATATTGCCTATTTGTTTTTGGTGTATCATAAGTCAATATCTGTGACTGTCTAGTTCTCAAATCTGGTACTCCTATATTTATCAGGCTCAACAGATATTCATCTTTCACATGATAATGAAGAAGTTTATACAAAAACATTATGTTAAAATATTTTCTTCTTACATCTAACCTACTGTAACCATGTTGGATACACAACACATCATATGGTACATCAACTGGGTAAACCCAGTGTAATCTTTTCAAAAATTTCTTTTGACAATTTTCTATTGCATGGATTGACCTCTGATAACATGGGTCCCATACAACTGATGCATATTCTACCTTTGTCCTAGCTAGTGAATCATACAAAAGGTTGACTGTAGAAATGCCCATATCCTTTGTGTTACGATAGATAAACCCTATAATCTTAAGTGCGTCACCCACTATTTTGTCTACATGATCATTAAAGCTGATAAAACTGCCATATAAAACACCAAGGTCTCTAATTGAGTTTTCCTCTTCCAACTTAATATTGTTTAAATAGTAATATTTGATAAGTAAAATTAAACCACCTCTTCGTTTTTTTCCCATTTTCTGTTTGTCTCTGTCAACCCGGATTACATTGTAAAACCCCCCCACTATTTCTGGTGTAAAGGTTTTGTCATCTAGCCATGTTTCGGTTAATGCTATAATTTCGTATTCTGCAGTTACAATATTAGTGTTCATTTCATTCAGTGTGTTGTTTACACTTCTTATATATTGAGAAAATACTTCAAACGTACCTTTGGTTTGTGTTGGGGTCTCAGAACTCATAAAAAATCCCCAGCCCACATTACCTTTGTGTATGTTTCCCAAATTTTCCAAAAAATCTCTATGTAATGTAGAGTTGAATCCAACCTCTACGTATTTTGGCCAGAATGAGGTGTCATACATTTCATCTTTTTTTTTCTAATAGCACCACTACCAAAAAATTTTTGAGCCTTTCTTCTTCTGTTGGAATCTCCTTCACTAATACAGAGACAGCTTCAAAACCTGCTCTTTTCTGTATGTAGCTTTTTATTATCTCTTCTGTAGCCCTTCTTTTTACACGATTGATATATAGCCATGCTCTTCTATCTCGTTCCTCAAAGTTCGGAACGGTTTGGTCTGTTCCCAAATTCTTACATTTTCTTTGTTTTCGTTTTACTAATGTGTAACCATTATTATTATTGCTTTTCTTTTCATCATCGGAGCTGACTGAACCGTCATCTTCATCGCTTGCGTGATTGCCAGCTTGACATTCCTGTATTTTTTAGAAAATCCAAAATAGCTTCCTATGTGTTTTTTTCTGCCGAATTAAAAATTGTATCAAAAAAACCGAGGGGAAAACCACTAGTGGAAATCATTGTACATTTGTTTGGAAGTCACATAGTAATCAATCAGGAATACATGGAAATCACTTGGGAGTCCCTAGGAATAACCTGGGGAATCGCTAGGAATCTCCTAGGACTCCATGAGAATCGCATAGGAATCCATTGCCAATCGCTGAGAATCATGTGGTAATCACTGGGAATATCATCTCATTCTAACCCAGAAATCGCATATCATACATTTTAAACAATAAAGCGTACTGGTCAGTTGTGTATTTGACTTCAAGACTAAGTTTTAAGCGACATTGAGTGCTAGACAATTTGAAATATATTTGATATCCCGACGAGTTTCCCAATAACTGAGCCAACCCGAGACTACGAAGAGTTTAGAACTTTGGGAAGAAGAAGAACGAGATCAAGATTAGGTCTGTTCTCACAGAAATCACAAACCAGTCAGAGCGTTTCTGATTGTTGCAAATCGTAAACAACCAGTTTTCTGATTATTTTCAACCAATGAAATTCGCTCTGACTGGTTTATGATTTCTGCGAGAACAGAGTTTAAGTATGACAATGCTGTAGATCATAAAAATGAAAACATGAATCTTGAAACCTCTCTCGAATTCTAATTGCCAAAAGAAGACACAGAATTTCTTCACACATCAAGGTTTAGCAATTGCGATTCGCTACAATTAAGAGATTATTCAGGGTTCAACTTTAATTTAGTTCTTTCCAGAGAAGCAGGGACGTTTGTCGATTGAAATATTAAGAGCTATGGAAATGTCCCTGAGAAAGACACAAAAGAAAAAATCGGGAATCCAAGGCAATATGAATTTGAAAAGGAAAAGTAGAATAAATACTAGGCAGGGCGAGAAGCAGAGACGATAGCGGATCTGAATCAGAAATAAGTTTGTTGAGTGAAACCCTAACTGAAGATGTCTCTGATTCAGATGAACATCCTAGTAAAATCAAAGAAATATCCATTATTTTACATCCGTATTATACAGTGTAGACACGCTAGGGCTCAACAACTATTTATACCTGCAACAAAATCGGTGTGGGTTAGTTTGGGTTAGTGAATGAAAATAAAAGTTGCTAACTTTTGGAAGAGTTGCAAATTCAGAAGTTGCCAATTTTTTAGTGGAAATGTGTTTTTATAATAGAAAAACTGTTTATTTCGGTCGTATTATATCAATGCGAAAGTTAACAATTAGACATCGTAATAAAATCAGTTGGAAATTGGATGATTATAGGAAATCATTGCGGAAATCAGGTAATCAATAGGGAATGATATAAGAATCCCCAGAAAAAATGGAAATCACCTGGTAATCATACAAAAATATCTGAAAATCATTGGCAATCAGTCGCAATTCTTGGGATGGGAATACATGAGATTTATTGATCAGTGATTGCCAAATATGGAAATTATTGTACATTTGTAAGCATAGTGGTTGACCCATGGTTGACCCCTTGAAAAAAACATTTCAACCAAAACCAAAAGGCTTATGTTGTGGATGCGGTGTTCTTTGAATGGAACACCTTGTTTTTCCATATGATTTTGGAAAAGTTTCATCTTTTTATGTCTTTTATGTTGAGAATATTCGACATCATAATAGTTTTAGGGTACCCAACTTGTCGGAGGTGATAAAAGTATAATCACCTACAGTCTACTTCAAAGTTTGAAGAAATGTAACTTATTTTGTATTCTGTCGTTATGAGATACTCATTAGAGAAGAGATTACAAATTATTACTTTGAAAGTCATGAACATGCAAAAGAAGCTTGAAAAGAAGCAGGAAGATTTATTGGCTGAGTTCTTGTTTCTAACGAGTTCTTCATGGTGGTAAATTATGTAATAGTTTACTCGATAATTTATGTTAAATTTCTCTTGCTTGACTTTGAAGTAAACTGAAGACTGAAGTTGATAGATAATACCCATATTACCTCCTACAGCTATCGAGATATCAAATATTTCCAAGTTAAAAGACATAAAAAAATGCAACTTTTCTAAAAATCATACAAAAAAGAGAGTTTATATAATTTCTTTTGCTTTTGGTTCAAATGATTTTTTTCATGCAATCTTTAAATTCCTCAGGAAAATACACAGCTATAATAGTCCTCGTTGAAAGTCCAGTCTTATAAATCTATTCCTTCCTCATCTATTCTTGCACTATTATTAAAAATATGTTAAATTATTATGTACTCCTTTATTTTTGGGACAGAGTAGTAGAGATTTATTTTTTACACCTATGTCATTACTTGCAATTGTCACGCTCCAAAAAAGTAAACACTCTTAAATCAAAAATCGCGCTGACCTTACGTTATTAATCGTAAACAACTATTAAACATAAAATTATTAATTAGAAGGTCAGTTTGAAGCACGTCGCTCACTAAAAAATCGCAAACATAAGTACGGTCATAAAATTTAATGGAGCAAAAAAAAAAAAAATTACAACAAATTTCATCATCAGCAGGTACTCATCATGCCTT